TCCCCTTCCCCAATTCCCCAACACTGTTCCCTCCCCCAATTCCCCAATAAAAATCTTTAAAAAAAAAGTTAATGACAAAGAAAATTCTCAAGGACACCAGGGAAAAGAATACTGTAAACTATAAAGGAAGTCCCATTAAATTATCGTTGGAGTTTTCAGCAGAAACCTTACAAGCTAGGAGTGAGTGGAATCAAATATTCATATATACTAAAAGAGAGCAGTCACCAGCAAAGAATAATATGTCCAACAAAGTTAACCTTCAGGTATAAAGAAGAAATAAAGGCTTTCCCAGACAAACAAAAGCTGAGGGAATTTACAACCACAAGACCTGCATTATAAGAAATGTTAAAAGGAGCTCTTCTAACTGAAATAAAACAGGTGAGCCTGTTTGGATAAGGTTGTCAGGGTGTGGTTTGAGGAGCCCTAGTCCTCGGAGAACTATGAAAATAGGTTCTGACAAAGACAGACAGAAACAGGAAACTCTACTGCACAATAGGGTATTAAGCAATTATAACATAAAGGCTAAAGAAGGTAAAAGCATTAAAAAAAAACCAACCAAACTATAGCTTCTGCAATTCAGAAAGAAACACACAGCATAAAAAAAGGATTATCTGCGACAACAAAAAACATAAAAAAGGAGGGGCAAAAGGACTGAACTTGCACAGGTGAATGGAGATAAGAAGCAATCAGAAGAAAAATGGATAATTGTAGGTATGAAACTTTTTTTTCCCCATAAAACTAAAGGTACCCACAAAACAAAAACCTAGACCTGAGATACCTAACATAAAAAAAGGAAACAGGAAAAAAATCAAAGAACATCACCAAACTAAAATAGCACACAGAAACACAGGAAAAAGAAACAATGGAGATACAGAACAACCAGAAAACAAAAGATAAAATGGCTGTAATAAGTTCTCCTATTTCAGTAATCACCCTAAATGTAAATGTACTGAACTCAACAATTAAAAGGCACAGAATAGAGGAATGGATTAAAAAACAAGACTAAACTATATGTTGCCTGCAAGAGACACATCTCAACTACAAGGACAAACATACACTCAAAGTGAAGTGGTGGAAGATGATTCTCCAAGCAAATGGCATCCAGAGGAAAGCAGGTGCAGCAGTGCTTATATCAGACAAAATAGATGTCAAGACAAAAAAGGCAACACGAGACAAATATAGGCATTTCATAATAATAAATGGGGCAATTAATCAAGAAGATATAACACTTATTAATTTATCTGCACCTAACCTGGGAGCAACTAAAATGTATAAAACAATTACTAACAGACCTAAAGGGAGAAAGTGACAAAAACACAATTATAGTAGGGGATTAAATACCCTACTGACAGCAATGGATAGATCATCCAAACAGAAAGTCAATACAGAAACACAAGCCTTAAATGACACATTAGATGAAATGGACATAATCAATATTTACAGATGACAAAATATGCAGTTTTCTCAAGTGCATATCCTTTATTCTAAAGGATAAACTATCTGCTGGTGCACAAAACTAGCCTCAACAAATTGAAGAAGACTGTAATAATACCAAGCATACTTTCTAAACCACAATGGTATGAAACTGGAAATTAACTATAAGAAAGCTAGAAAAACCACAAATATGTGGCGATTAAACAANAAAAAAAATGTATTCTTAAATATTTGGTTTTACATTTGCGCATTTTCAAAATCTAAACTATTGACAAGATAACGTATTTTGACAAACTATTAGACCTAATGACCTATCATTAGAAATGTAGATTAACACAGCAATGACTGAAGCTTATCAGAACACTTAGCCAGTACACACCACATTATCTTCTGCTGTAACCTACATGCAGCACAGAAAACAATTTCCCAAAATGAAATAAGATGCCATTAATTTTTAGCTTCATTAATAAGCTTCAATGCATTCCTCTATTAAAAAAAATGTGTAATGTCCTCAATTGAGACAGTAAAACAAATGGAGAGAAAAAAAGGTTTCCAGCTTTCTTTATTACCAAGAAAAAATGAAAATGCAGCTAGCAGATGGAAGAACTAGAATTTCCAAGGACTCTAAACCAGAAAAGTCAAGGCTTTAGCTTAATTCACCTAGAAGATAGGATGTCTGGTGTGAGGCCTGACAAGTGTACACAGCGTCGCAGCAAGAACATTAAATGAAACTGAGAGGAACTGTCTGACGCCTCATTACTGAGGACGCAGAGCAGTATCTGACCTACCTGGCTTATCCCTCCGGGAGAGATCTTGTATGACTGCAACTTCTGCTTCAGCAGCTCTGGATCACTGTGACGGAATGGGCACCCTGACAACAAAAAACAAGCCAGCATACCAACAAGGTTATTTACTCAGGACTTAGTACTATACCACACTCGAGAGACTGTCTAAGCTCCCCTTAATTGTCTAACAGCTTATTAATAAAAAAGTTAATTGCCCATGGGTGCAACTGCTTTCCTCTCTTTATCTAAATGACGACTTAGCTGCACGGTTATCAGGGTACTACAGGCTCAAGAGTTACATAAAACATTACAGCATTCTCAGGCTAAGATGCCCATTCACTAGGAAGAGGAAACAGTTTTAATTATGCTACTTGCTAACAAGCAAAGACAATCACAAAGTAGCTGTAAAAAAGTTTATCTAAAAACTTTATACAATCTCACATTTTTTTTTCTCGTTTAGAAAAATACATAAAAGGCATACAAGGAAGAGAGTGTAAACAAAATAAAAATGTGCAAGCTCTAAGGAATATAAAAATCTCACATCATTTTCAGATGTAAATTCTATGCCTAGTTCCCATAAAGTAGAATCGGTATAAATTTAGATGAATCATGGATGGGAATGAAATGGACAAATAAGAAAGTGTTTCAAAGAAAAACAATAAATAGCAGACAAATGTCACCTCTATATTATTTCATGAGAGAAATAAAAATAAAGATGGACTACTAAAAATATTTGCATAAATAAGAACACAAAAGAATTGAAATGTAAAAGCTGTATTAGGCCAAAATCTAAAAATTTTTAGATATTTTAATAAGAAACTACAATGACATAAAATACTTATTTTAAAATTCAGTACAGGAAGCCAGGTTATTTTTCAGTCATACAAATGATAGCTCTATAAGTTAATTAGAAACATTTGTGCGTTTTTAATAAAATCAATAAGACACTGGTAGGAGCAAAAATAATAGAAAAGCACCTACAGGCCAAACAAATCTGTTTACCAAAAATCTTAACTATGAATTAAAACAGTGAAGGTAATAACACTGGATTCCTACAAATTATAAAATTGACAATATTCATAGTATATACTTTACTGATTAAAATTGTAATAAGTTTTAGTGCAAGGAAATATCTTGAGAAGCTGTTAGCACACATGGTTAAGAGTTTGGAGCTATACTGCCTGAGTTTGAACGTCACTTTAACAGTTACTAGCTGGCAGACCTTAGGCAAATTTTTTATCTCCTTGTTGACTCAATTTCAGTTTCTGTCAAGTGAGGGAGATAATCACTCACTGGACTTTTGTGAGAATGGAATATAA